CCCACCAGAGGCCTCCCATCCCTGAGACAGTTCCCGTCAAGGGGTCATCCAGGGACCAGCCGAGCGCCCAGGCGGGAGGGAGGTGCAGCCCACTGTGTCCCCTGCAGGGGGAGGACAAGGTGTTCCGCCGCGCGCCCTCCTGGAGGAAGCGCTTCCGGCCTCGGGACCTCTCCGCAGGCATGCTCGGCGTGTCCCCGCTGGGGTCCCTGCAGCCTCCACCGGCCCCGCCCAAGAAGGTCACGCCTGAAGGTGAGTGACGCTGTCCGCCCTGGCTGCCTGAGGCTGCACTGACCTGCTGTGGCCGTGGCCTGGCCGCCCCAGCAAGCGCTCGTACTAACAGCCGCCTGTGTGTTCTCGGCTGCCGCCTCTCGCAGCCGGGCTGGCCGGGGCGCAGAGACCGGAGACCTCCACGGTGCGGACTTACACCTGCTGACCCTCCCGGTCTGGCCCTGTGCCCGTGGCCCGTGCTCGGGGTAAGTGGGCCAGCCCAGCCGCACGGCCTTCACCCCTCCTCGCCCTCCCGGCTGGCCCGCGCGCTCTGCTGCATCTGCTTGGTGCTCTGCTTGCTGGGGTGCCCTGCCACCCAGCCTCCGCTCGAGGCACTGTCTACTGCTGACGCCCCCCTCTCTCTCAGCGCACTCCCACTATCTCTACGGACACATGCTCTCTGCCTTCCGGGACTAGCCACGGCCCCAGGGCTCCACAGGCTCGGCCGCTGGACCCCTCCTGCTCGACCCCTTCCTCCAGGCTCCCAGGCTCTTCAGTGACTCTCCAGCCGCCCTGGGTCTCCGAATACATGCGTCCACCCTGGGCCGTCCACCACCCCAGGCTCCACGTGTCCTTTGTCATCTCTGATGTGGCTGTGCCTCCTGGAGTCGCGCAGCCCCGGGTGGGCTGTGACTCCACCTCCCTCCTGGCCCTGGCCTGGCCTGGACTCGACCTCCAGGGGAGACCAGGGCACCGACGCGGGCCGGGCGACCTGCCAAGAAAAGGGCACTTGACCCTCTGCGTGTGGGCTATCTGGCCTCTGGTCCCTGTCCCTGTCCTGGCTCTGCCCAGTGGCCTGACTGCCATGGTTTCCGCTCTGGGACCCCCTGCGGGGCTGGGCGGCAGCAGGCCTGTCCTGGGTGAGGCTGGGGAGGAGGTCCCAGGCCTGGCCTAAGCTGAATCCCAAATGTGAATTTGAGAAGAACCTGGGAGAACTGGGCCCCTGAGCTTTGGGCCGAGGGTCCAGGTGTGGAAACAGCCCCCCATTCGGTGAGGCACAGGCTGGCCAGTGGAGGAGACCAGAGGCTGTGGCCTCACCCAAAGGGCAGCGGGATGCCGCCCGTCCCGCGTGGGGTAGAGCTGCTGGGGGGTGGGGGATGGTGTGGGGGAGGGTCGGGGCCTGTAGCCTTAGCTCTGGGCAGGACAGAGATCACCCCACACCCCAGGCACTGCCAGCCCTGCTCCGCACCCTGTCCCTCGGCCCCTCAGCCCCCTGCAGGAATCCCAGCCCCATAGCGCGCCCATGGTGGAGTGGGTGTGCCCTGCCTCAGCTCCGGCTTGGGGAGGAGGGAGGCTGAGGCTGCCTCCCCTTCTCTCCTGGGAAGAGCTTGATGCTTCCCCTGAGTGAGTCGGCCCGGCCCAGGTCATCGAATGTGGGTGAAGGCCGCCCTCCACCCCTTGCTCAGGGCTGCCTGGGTGTGCAGGGACTGCCTCCTCTAGAAATTCCTACCAAGTGGGCAGCGTTCCCCAGCAGCATGGCATTCCCAGGAAATCCTCTTCCTCACCCATTCTCACCCCCTCGGTGCTGGAAGTGCTGGGACCCAAGTTCAGGATGTGGGTGGAACCCAGGCTTCATCCAAGCGAGAGCAGAGGCAGGCGTGTGGAGGCCACACTCCCGGCCGGTGGCTGACCAGCTGGACTGGGGTCTGAGTGAGGCTGCCCTAGTGAGGCAGTGCAGGCTCAGCCCTTGGCAACCTCTCAGAGGTGAGGTCCCCACGCTGGGGTGGGGGCTCCCCTCGTGCCCTGCCCTCCCTGGCATCAGCCACTGCGGAGATGAGGGGCGGGAGAGAAAGCCCTGTGCTTGGGTGATGGGCCTGAAGGTTGTGGAGAAACCCCAGGCTCTGGTTGGTGGGGTGGGGACCACAAGGCCGTGTGATGGTCAGGGGACCCGATGAGCTGGTACGAGGGCGCGGCCGCAGCCGTCCTCCACTTCGTCCTCCACGCGGTTGTGTCGTGAGGCAGCAGCTGGGGGACCTGGGTCCCTTCAGGGCATCGTGGAGTGTTTCAGGGAGGTGATGGAGGAGAGGCCAGTGGGGGATGAGGCTGCTGTCTGCTGATCAGAGGAGGCTGTTTCTCAGTCAGTGCATTTGCAGAGTCCCGAGGCCTGAGCCCTCACAGCTTCCTGTCAGGTCCCTGCTCAGCACTGTGCTAGCTCCGTGCATCCGGAGGGGGTGCGTGGGTGCGTGTGCGTGTGCGTGTGCGTGTGCCCCACCAATAAACCTGGTTTTACGACAACGTAAACATGTTCTGGTCCTTTTCTAACCTGGAGCTCACCTGCATGTCCGTCCTCCGGGCCGAGGGCTGCCCTTGGGGAAGCAGTTCCTTGGAGAGCTGAGGGCGGTAGCTTCTGCTCCACATACCCCAGGCCTGAGAGGGCGGTTTGGGCTGCTCGTGCCCGGGGGTGGGGAGGGAGGGCAGCCTGGCTGCTGGCCATACCCCTTGCCAGCCATGATCTCCTCCAGCCTGATTCCCCAAAGCCTGATTCCACAACATTTGATTAACCCAGTTTGATTTCTTGTAGGCGCTTCCACTGGAGACTGGGACTTAGGCTAATTTCCCTAAAGAACTCCCCTCATTATTCATTCATCCTTCTCTGGAATGTAATTGTGAAGGCTGTGCTCTTGTTAATGTAGGAAAGTCCCTGGGCTTCGCGATAAGGGTGAGGCTGGCAGAGCGGCTGCATCCTCCATGGTGGGAAGCAAGGCAGGCCATGGCCACACCCGACCACGGAGGGAACTGCCAACCCTGACCATCGCTGAGGACTGTTCCTCTCACCAGCGTATGAATATGAACTTCAGCTCCCAAATGACATGATAACTACAGAGGAATAAACTTTAAAAATATATCCAGCAGCCCCAGAGCCCCCCAGGTCCTGAACAGAGATGGAAGCCCTTGGCCAGCCCCAGCCCCAGCCCCAGCCCCAGCCCCAGCCCCAGCCCCAGCCAGGGGGCACCTGAAGGCAGCGGGCAGTGTCCCCGGGAGCCTGGAGGGTGCCGGGCAGAGGAAATGGGCCTGAGCAGCCCTCCTGTCCAAGGCCAGTGAGTCAGGGAGGGACCCAGGTGTTCCCTACACCCTTCCCAGGGGGTGGGAGGAAACACCAGGACGCAAAGGCAGAGGGAAACCCCACATGTGGTTGACCCAACCTGTGATTCCCACCAGGCCCGGCCCTCGCCCTCACCCTCGCCTGGGGCCTGAGCCTGCCTGCCTCCTCCTCCTCTTTCTTATGCAGTTTCTGGGCACACCCTGGGGGGCCGCATGTGGGGCCCTGTCTCCAGGAGCAAGTCTGGAGGGCTGAGCCCTCGGGCACCAGCGCCTGCTCAGCACCTGGGGTCCCTCTTTTCAGGGCCCCAGAGAACGGAGTCGGGGCTGGGGGGACCCCACGCAGAGTCCTGACTTCTGTCATGATTCTGAAACTTATAATTTGCAATAAATCAGACGAACAGCCTGAAGCAGTTGGAATTAATAAAGTTTTTAGTGGATGTTCATGGTCCAGGGAAATTCTAGCTCCTGATGCCTCCCCCGTTGACCCTCGTGTCACATGTCCAGTCCTTGTTCCCCCTCAGGAAGCCAGACTGAAAGCAGCAGCTCAGCGTCCCTTCCTGTGGTGGTTCTTGGGGAGCCCCCGTGAGCTTCCCCCACTGCTGAATCTCCATCCTCTGGGCTGCAGGCCAGGCCACAGCCCCCTCTTCCCAGATGATGGACAGTGAAAGGGTGCAGTGGGATTCCATCATCTCCCACTTCCCTACGGGCTCCTGGTAATGCCACACCAGAGGAGAGGCAGGGATTAGGGAGGGAAACCCACAGATTCCAGCTGCACCCCCACCCGCGGGCTGTGGGCTGGGCGCCAGGCCTGTGCTCAGTTCATTGGAGGACCTGGCGGGATGGTAGTGAGTGCACGGTGTCATGAATTAGAGGGTGACAGGCCTCAGCAGGGGGCTGGCGTGTCTTCCCTGGCCTGTGGACCGACCTGGCTTCCAGGGGTCCCAGGGCCTGGTGACCACCAGCAATGGGAGCTCACGCCCGATCCTGGGCGTGTCTGGACTGAGGGCGCAGGAGCGGCAGACACCCCTCTGTCTACATCATCACGGACATCTAGCAACCAGTGTTTATTCATTTTTTAAAAAAGGAAATCCAAATAAGTTAGCAAAAAAAATTACAAAACAATAGCAAAACCACACAATGCTTAGTTATCAAAGGAAGTCACCCCAAGAGCCCCGCCCCCCCTCCCGTACCTGGCAACTTTGCACAGGACACCTTGGTCAGATGGCAGCTTCACAAACAACACACAAAACAAACAACATAAAACCTGGGGTTCCCAGTGTTCACGGCAGAAGCTTGGCCCCCGGGGACTGGGGGACAGGGCACCTCTCCCTGCTCCCGAGTCAGGGCAGGCCCAGCCCAGCCGCTGCCTCAGGAAGAGCAGACGGAGGTGCACCGTGTGTCCGGGTCAGGACACTCTGTCGCTCAGACTGGATTTGGGGGTGGGGTGGAGCGGAAGGCTGAGTTATACTCAAAGGGAAGCTCCTGAGTTTGCCCCTGAGCGGGGCACCCGCGGGCGCTCTGGTCCCCTGCTCTGTCTCCCTGGACCCGGATGGCCCTGGGAGCTCTGAGCAGTCAGCCAAGAGAGAGCGCCCACTCCCTCTCTGGTTGGTGGCTTAACCTTCGACAGGCGAGGAGGGGGGCAGGCTGGCCTCCTGGCATCAGGACAGCCTGGCTTCGGCGGCCTCCGTGCCCCAGTGACGGCATCTGTGGCCAGCCTGTGGGCCCCTGGCCGCCGGCCGCAGACCACCTCAGTTGGGCAGGGTCTCATCCGGGAAGGCCACAGAGACGTCCTCCATGGTGATGCTGTCCACGATGGAGGTGAGCGAGTGCAGGTTGTGGGCGTCGGCAGGGTCCGCTGGGAGCAGATGGTCTGTGGGGAGAAGGTGGGCGGGGTCACCTGGCGACAGGCGTCTCCAGCTCGGAGTGCTACTGCCCTTCCCAGTGGCACGCGTGGGACAGGTGCCTCCTCCCAACTCCGCTCCTGGGGCTGGGCTGGGGTTGGAAGCAGCTATTCCGCCTGCCCTGGGAGTTGGAGCCTGGGTGGTGTGTCCTGGGAGATGGCCCTGCCCTTGCTGGCATTAGGCAGCACGGACTCGGGACTCCCAGGGACCCCTGGGGTAGGGACAGTCTCCTCCCTGTGGAGAAGGTCAGCCACTGGCCACCAGGCACAAGGCAGGAGCTGCAGGAGGCCCGGCTCTAGGTGGCCAAGGCTTCCGTCCACCCCTGGGGCCCTGGGTTCAGCAGGTCCCCGCAGAGGCCGAGGGGAGAAGCCGGGGCAGGGAATAAGGGAAGAGGGGCGACCTGGGCTGGACACAGGCTGAGGGATTTGAGCCAAGCTGACCAGGTCCCACCTCACTTACCCCCTGGGTTGGGGCCGAACTCCAGGGCGCTGCCCCACTCTGGACTGCAGGAGGCGCTGTGGGAGCTGCATTCACTGGGTACCTGCTAGACACCGAGGCCCAAGGTCAGGCCCAGCGGTCTCTGTGGTGCCCTCTGTCCAGTCCCCAGGGCAGAAGCTCCTGTGCCCAGGCTACCCCTCCAGCCCAGGTCACCCCCTCCACCGGGAGCGTCACAACTCACCCCTTCCCTGCCCCCGCCTGGCCACAGAGCCCCAGCTTCCAGGCCTTTCCTGGCTTCCATCTGGGGTGGACACCAGCTTAAAGGGGCGCCTGGTTTTCCTGACCCGGAGATCAGGGTGTCCGGCCCAGCCAGGCTCTATGCAAGTGCTGGGGTTCTGGGTGGGGTGGTGGGGGTGGAGCTGTCCATCCCCAGGCACTGACCCGGCTGACTCGGGACTTGTTCCTTGACCCTCCTCCGGACCCCTGCCCCCCACCCCCATCTCTGCTTGTCCTGCTGCCTGTCCTATCTGGAAAGGACACGGGACACAGGGATGGCTGGGCGCCCAGCTCTGACCGAGGACTGTCCCCGAGCCCACGGGCAGGTGGGGCAGCCACTTACCCCCGCCGGGGGGCCGCCCCGCGGGCAGCGCAGCCCGCGCTCCTCCTGGCGGAGGGAGCTGAGCAGGGCCTGCAGGCGCTCGATGTACTGGATGGCGCTCCGCAGGATCTCCACCTTGGGCAGCCGCTGGTTGGGGTTCAGCAGGGTGCTCCGCTTCAGGGCCTCGAAGGCCTCGTTCACCTTCTTGAGCCGGCGTTTCTCCCTCAGCGTGGCCGCCCGCCGCCGGTCCACGGACACGGACTTCCTCTTACACGCCTTGCACGCCCACGGCAGGCACTGGCCCGGGCAGTGCTCGGGGGTCCCCAGCCCCTTGTCTTCGAGGGGCCCCCGGGCCTCGGGGCTCAGGCTGAGCTCAGTCCGCTCGTAGCCCGGCGGCTCGAAGCCCTGGAGGTGGACGGGCAGGTAGTTTTCCCCGTCGTAGAAGTGGGGCTCCTGGTAGAAGTAGGGGGGTGTCTCATACAGCTCCATGGGGTCGGAAGAGGCTCGTTCCTGCCACTGGCCCCCAAGCTCCTGCAGCCCCTCACGCCAACTGCTGGGTGCCATTTAAACCCTTCCCGCTGGCATGGAACCAGAGATAAATATAGCCAACGCCACGGAAACCTGAGCCCCCTCTAAGCTGTTGCTGCACATCAAGACGTTCACAGTGGGATTAGACGTGACCCCCCCCCCCCCGCCTCCACCCACCCACCCAGCCTGCCTGCCCTGGGCAGCCCTGGGCTCCTGGGCCCAGGAGGGAAGCCGTCGGGTGTAATTTGATTAGTTTTCATTTCTCGGCAGCCCCCCTGGGGCAGGCAGGGGAGGTGGGGGACACATTCTTCATCTGCT